TCACACACACACACACACACACACACACACACACACACACACACACACACACACACACACACACACCAGCTGGTGTGTGTGGCAAGAGTTTCACATCTCCTTCATTTTGTGCCATCCTTTGCCTCTCCCATCTCCTGCATTTCTTTGCACGGATGCTGAAGCCTGCTCTTGTTGGCATTTTTTTAACTTCCTACGTTTCTACCATGGGGGCCTGAGTTAAAAACTAACCTGTGCTTAGACAAATGGGCTCCGAACTTACTGCACAGGGGCTAGTGCCAAGACATATGCCACTGAACCAAAGCCCTCCAGGCGATCCCGAGGTGCACAGCGGTCCACCTTCCAAGTGGACCTCATGTCACCCAAAATTCTGGCTCTGCTCTGCAATTTGCTTCTTGTTTTAGCTGATGGGCACTTTGGGGGCACTGGGAAGTTGTAGTTATACATTTTAGAGGCCTTCCGAAGAGCTTACTACTCCCACTTCTCTCTCCTTCTAGGGCTGAACCATGTAGGGTGCTAGGGGGAGCCTGTGGCTTGGGCAGAGAAGGGAGAGTGCTCGGGCAGGATTCCTTATGGCTGCTTTAAAAAAAAATTCATTTGTCTAATGTCTATGCGTTGTGCCCATCGCCACAGTATCTGAGCATCTACCTAAAGCTCCTTTTCTTTCCTGGCATTGCAATTAGCAGAGATCTGCAGGATCTGAGCACCTCAGTTAAAATAATTTTTGCCCTGGGACATGCTGGTTTCCCCATCAGCTGGCCTGAACCCACAAAACTTGGGGCCTGATCCTGCTAGATGCTGAGCCCCTGCAAGTGAAGGGTGCTCAACCTCTGCCAGAATGGGGCTCCTGGGGAGTTGGGCAGGGATGGTGTCATTAGAAAGTCCCTTTTGTACTTTTAGCTTAGGCTACTGAGAGCTGCATTCACATCCTCTTCCACAGCTCTCCGTTGCTATCGTTACCTTGGTATTAGCTCTGCGTGCCTGTGGGCTGGTTTATGTACACAGCACCTCAGAAGGCCTGTGCCTAGAGGTAATGCTGCTCGAGAGAGAGTTCAAAGCCGGGCAACTTGGGTTTGTTGTTACAAAGAGAAGCTCTTTCCCCCTCTTTCCTCCCCACAGAAGCCTTGTAAATCCCTGGTTTAAGCTGCCATGAGTTAATTCTGTTTGCTCTAGACTCCTGCTCATTACATTTCCATTTCAGCGCTGGCAAAGCATGACCGTGTGTGCCTAGAGCTGCTGAGAGCTGGCTTGAAGCATTGGCCTCTCAGTGCCCAGCTACAACTCCAGCAGTGCAAACATCCTCCCAGCCGTGCCCCAGAAGCACCAGCTGGAATGCTAGCAGCGTGAGCTGGGCATGCTGCGCAGGACCCCAGCTTCCCCACAGCCGTGCCCTGCCAGTCACTGCTGAGCCTTCAGGAACACAAAGGTGTTCCTTTTAAAAAGCCAGCACCACTCTATGTAGGAAGAGGAAAAATCCCCTCAGGCAGTCTTGAACTTTGCTCTGGCCATCTTGTCCGGTTTGAGCCAAATGGGAACACGGGGGCTGAGGTGTCCCTGGTACCAGTTATTCCAGTTGCGGTGCAGGCAAGAGGAGGAGCAGCCAGCCCTGTTTTGTGTGTGTGTGTGTGTTGGAGGGAGACATCTGGCGGGGTGGGAGGAGAGAGAGAGGATGTGTTCGCTCAGGTGGATCTGGAAGCTTCGTTAGCTAATGCTGGGAAGGGAGGAATGGGAAAAAAAAATCTCTCTCACATGAACAAGCATGAGCCTGGGCTGGGGAGACGGGGGAGGGAGGAGAGTCCAAGCAAACAGACAGGACACGTGTCTTATCAGAGGCAGAGCAGGGCATGCTTCCAGGAACCCATTAAATTTTACAGGGAATCCGCTTGGAGTGCATGTTGAGAAGGGGTGGGGCGCTGCCTTGGCTCCGTTCCCCTTCCAAGGGCTGTTGTTTGTTGTTCTCTGCTCAGAGCTGCTTTGGGTGGCATGGTCCTCGCTTGGCTCTCATTGGGAGAGCGGGGGAAGCAGCCGGCCAAGGTCTCTGCAGCTCAGGGTGGCTGGGGCCGTCAGGGATGTGAGGAAGGGGGGAGAAGCTCATGAGGAGCCTGGACGAGGTTCCCTGCTAGGAGAAATGACTCTGGGTGTGTGAGAGACGGAGCGACTCCGACGGCCTGGCAGCTGCCCTCTCCATGGGAAGGTTCTCTGGGAGGGACACAGACTATGCAGGATTCCCTTTAAATCGGCCCGTGTGAGTATGGCAGGAGCGGAGGTGAAGCAGTCTGGAGGATGCCCGCTCCCGGGTGCATTCCCAGGCACTGTTTCTTGCCCATGCGAGCAGTGCCGTTTCCCAGATCCCCCCTTCCCCGGCTCTGAGCACCTGCAGAGTGGGTTGCAAATCCCTTCTGCCCCATCCCCCCGCTCGGTGGCAGCAGAGGCTGAAGTGGGTGTAAGTTTCACACTCTTTCCGCAGGTGCAAGGTTCCCTAGGTTGGGTGCTCCCAGGAGATCCCAGCCCTGGGCCTCGCCCTGGGTGGTGGCCACGTTCTAGGTCCCAGTTGACCGTGCTTGTTTATTGACTATCTTCCCTGGGGTTTGCCATGGCCCCAGGCGGACTCTGCTTGGGAAATCTTTTCCCACCGGGATGAGTAGGGTGGCTGCTTCCTGCCTACGGAGTTTGTATGGGGTGAGGTGGGGGTGGCTGGCCTCTCTGGGGGAAGAGAGGACTCCCTCCCACTTGGCCAGCTGGTGGCTCTCTGTGGAGAGTGGGGGTCCACCCTACTGTGGCTCATTGGCTCTCTGGAGAGGGAGCCCATCTTGAGGAGAACCAGGAGCCCCCTGTGTGTGCCCGGTGGCTATGTGGGAAGGGGCCCATGTTGATCAGGAGCCCCCCACATGGGCCCACTTGCTCTCTGGGATAGCAGGACCTCCCTCCTGCGGATTAGACCAAGGGCTTTCTTGGGAGCAAAGGAGGCATAGGCTGGCTTGTTGCGGCACCCAAAGCTGCCTTGCAAACAGGTCTGGAGCATTGACTCAGCATCTCCGCTGGCCCCTCTCCCTTGCTTTCTCCCCAGGTCCCAATTAATGGATTCTGACATGGATTATGAGAGGCCAAACGTAGAAACTATCAAGTGCGTCGTGGTTGGGGACAACGCGGTGGGCAAGACCCGGCTCATTTGCGCCCGCGCCTGCAATGCCACGCTGACCCAGTACCAGCTTCTCGCCACCCACGTGCCCACAGTCTGGGCCATTGACCAGTATCGTGTTTGCCAGGAGGTGAGTGACATCTGCCTCGCGGGCGGGACTGGGTGCTGACGGGGCTGGGGGGACCGTAGCTGTCACAGGACACCCCTCTCTTGGAGCATGGTGCAGACGGGCTGTCCAACAGGGCAGGGCACTATCATGATTGCAGTCCACCCTCCCAAGCCAAGTAGAGGCTCAGCCCAGGGCATTCTTCCCCTGCCTGGGGTCAGCAGTGTCATTAACTCCCCTTTAATGTCCTACCTCCAGGGGGAGAGGGGAGCTAGCTAATTCTACACCCTGCCCCGGAAGGCGGCTGACCTTTTCTGTTCCCTCAGGTGCTGGAGCGCTCCCGGGATGTGGTGGATGATGTCAGTGTGTCCTTGCGACTCTGGGATACTTTTGGGGACCATCACAAAGATAGACGCTTCGCTTACGGAAGGTAAGGTGGCAAACTGGTCTTTCCTGTGGGCCTAGGAACTAGAAGGAGAAAATGCATGAAAGGGCAGATGGGGAAGGAGGGCTGGCTTCCATGCCAGGAATGTGCATTGCGCCCCTGGGAAAGGGGAGGCTAGTTCCTGTGTGGGGGGGTGTGGGGGGGGTGTGCATTGCACCACGAACGGGGGTGGAGGGCTGGCTTCCATACAGGGAGCGTGCATTGCACTCAGGGGGTGGCGGGAGAGACTGGCTCCCCTTCTAGCCGTAGATAAGTTTAGGGTGCAAATTGTACAAGTCAGTAATAGTTCACATTTTATTGAGTTTGAGGTTGGTGAAACACACCCACAAAGTTTATTTAATACAGACATCTATCTCTGAAATCATAGAAAAATGAAATAAAGCAAGATAAATATAACAACCCCCACCTCCGGATCATGCATACTTATAGCCTTAAGCTGGCACAAAATAAAGCAGTCTCCAAATGTTGACATACATGCAACCTTCTGGAGACTGGTACCAGCAAGAATAAAAGAAAAAGTAAGGAGAGGTCACCACAAGACAACTCGTTCATACTCAGGCTTCCGCCATAGTCATCCCTGATGTCCCAAGTGGGGCTTGGTCTGATCATCTTTTATATACATTTTCCTGTTTCATTCCACATGTGTGCGGGACCATATTTGATCAGGTTTCAGCCCCTGCCCATGAGTGATATTCCGGCTAGCCATAATTCAACTTCCCGCAGTTAATACCTTGGTTACGTCAATTAATGTCCCAGTGTGGTTTTTCCATGGTTACATATACCCCCCAACATCCCTAGAAATCCATTCCTTCAACCTTCTGTGGTGTACTTTTCAGCACAAGCTACATATTGCAAGATGTTGCTAAATCTTCTAACCTTACATTAAGCAGTCTTGCTATCTCCTGGCTAGACTATCAAAACTACTAACAAGCCCACAATGCCTCAGCTTATGGCCAAGCCTGCCTTAGTGGTTATCCAGATTCTTATATTTCTCTACTTGCATGTTTTGCATTACAGCTCTAATAGCTGCTGTTTCACTAGTTTAAAGCATTTTAAAGCACAGGATATATAATTTAATCTTGCACCCTAAACTCAGGTCTGGGTTTACAGGTCAACACCATGCAGGGAACCAGAGTTTCCTCCTGGTGCTGATCCCTTGTGCAGGGAGTCTGCCTTGCACTGATGCACCTGTGCAGGGAGGTGTATATGCCTGACTTCTGATGGGATGAGTGCATGGTCCCTGGGGGACAGAATCGTAACGGAACCCTGCCTCTTCTCCACTCTCAGGTCTGATGTCGTGGTTTTATGCTTCTCCATTGCTAACCCGAACTCCCTGCACCATGTTAAGACCATGTGGTACCCAGAGATCAAGCACTTCTGCCCCCGAGCACCTGTCATCCTGGTGGGCTGCCAGCTTGACCTTCGCTATGCCGACCTGGAAGCAGTCAATCGAGCCAGACGACCCTTGGCCAGGTAGAGATTGGGATAAAGCTGCATACAGGATGCAAGGGATGTCAGGGCAAGCCCAAGGGGACATGTATTGGTTACCAGGGAGCAGACGACTGGTTGCAGAGAGACGAGGCAGCAACATCCTCCAGATGGACCCAGGCTGTGAAATCTGCAATACAGAGCCATTCTCTTTGGGGCACGTCTGTGTGAGAGGAACAGAGAGGGAGATGGGAGGCAGAGAGGAAGAATGGGAGAAAGGAGGGAAGGAATAGAGGATAGCGAGGAGGGGAGAAAAATAAGATGAAGACCGAGCCAAGGTGGCATTGGTTAACCCATGAGTATGATGTTCCTGGCCCCAGCAGCCTGCTATGCCCGGGGGAGTTCTGTGTTTGCCACTGCACAGGGCCTTATGCTCCCCCATGCTGTACCTCTGCGCAGTCCCCTTGCTATGTGTTTCCAAGGTCACTGGTTCTCCGAGCAGCTCTTACTGTTGTTCCCCACTCTTCTCCGTTCCAGGCCAATCAAACCCAATGAGATTCTGCCACCAGAGAAGGGGAGGGAGGTGGCCAAGGAGCTGGGCATCCCCTATTATGAGACCAGCGTGGTAGCCCAATTCGGCATCAAGGATGTCTTTGACAACGCCATTCGGGCCGCCCTTATCTCCCGACGGCACCTGCAGTTCTGGAAGTCCCACCTCCGCAACGTCCAGAGGCCACTGCTCCAGGCCCCTTTCCTGCCTCCCAAGCCACCCCCACCCATCATCATGGTCCCAGACCCCCCTTCAAACAATGAGGAGCACCCGGCCCACCTGCTGGAGGACCCACTGTGTGCAGATGTCATCCTAGTGCTGCAAGAGAAGATCAAAATCTATGCCCACAAGATCTACCTCTCCACCTCCTCCTCCAAGTTCTACGACCTGTTCCTGATGGATCTGAGTGAGGAGGACCAGCAGGGGGTGGCTGGGGGCAGTTCCGGGGCCGCCGTCTCCACCGCCGCCGCCGAGCGGACGCTGCACCAGGAGGAGAGGCACCACGGGCGCGACTTCCTCCTCCGAGCCGCCAGCTTCGACATCTGCGAAAGCACCGAGGAGTTCAGCTCCAGCCAGCGTCCACCGTGCCTTAGAGCCTCCACCAGCGACGGGATCCTGCGAGGCAACAGCTACGAGAAAGGGCAGCGCGGGCTGAGGCGGGGGAGGATCCTGTCCTCCTGGAGCCGTGCCTTTGTCAGCATCCAGGAGGAGATGGCCGATGACCCCCTGACCTACAAGTCCCGGCTCATGGTGGTGGTGAAGATGGACCCTTCCATCCAGCCGGGTCCCTTCCGGGCGGTGCTCAAGTACCTGTACACGGGGGAGCTGGACGAGAATGAGCGGGACCTCATGCACATTGCCCACATCGCTGAGCTGCTGGAGGTCTTCGACCTCAGGATGATGGTGGCCAACATCCTGAACAACGAGGCGTTCATGAACCAGGAGATCACCAAAGCCTTTCACGTCAGGAGGACCAACCGTGTGAAGGAGTGCCTGGCCAAGGGGACTTTCTCTGGTATGTCCCAGGGAGTTCCCTGTTGGCGTGATAGCTATGGGGGACTGGACTGCTCAGGTGATGGGGGTTCGCTCACCAGTGAGGAGGAGCCTGGGCTCAGGGGACTGGGTATGGTGCGGGGAGCCTGAGTCCGGTCTGGGTCAGTCGTGATTGAGAGTTGACACCATCTGATGGCTGTTAGCTGGCCTGTGAGCAAGTAGGTGCATCTCAATCCAGTTCCTGGATAGGCGTCTGTATCTCAGCTGCTGCTCATGGGATCCCTTGTTAGCAGTCTCAGAAAAGGGACCCAAGGACTGAGTGGGCCGTGGAGACCGAACTCTGAGGCTTAGCCATGCTCCCTCCAGAAAAGGGCTGAGGCACGTTAATGGGGCAGCTTCCAGCGCAGCTGCCCAGGATGGTGATGTGCTACTGATAAACAGGCTGTCACTCTTCAAGGCTGTCCAGCCCAGCCTTTTACCACAGCTTCTGGAGAGCTTCCAGTGCAGATTTTATGCAATTGTGATGCCATAGTTTCTTTCTCCCAGAAAGCCCTAGCTTGAGCGTCTGGTTTCCTGCAAAATTTCTGCCCTCCAGCCAGTTTTCCAGCTCTGGTTATTTAAACCAGAGCAGCTCGAGCGACTTAGTTTCCACTTGTTCTGGATTATGTAGAATTATCCCCTTTCATGATGGGAAACCCACCATTTATGGGACATTCCTAGGTCCTGAGATCCCTTCCAGGGCTTCTGAAACCACATCCCAGTATGACGTTGCCATGATATTCTGGTGCCGTGTCATCACGCTTTGTCATGACATCATGATAAGATGTTATGACATTTGACGTAAATGTCCCAGCATCACCCTGGCTGAAGTTGTTCCATTCAGATAAACCCCAAGGTCACATAAGTAGCCAGTATTTCATCTGAATTAGACCTCGGGTTCTGGGAAGACAGTGTGGTCCTGGGGATAGGGAACCAAGAAAGGTGGTGCTTCTTCCACTCTCAGGTCTGCCAAGGTTTGGTTTGCGGGCGTTTATCCTTTTGTGCCTTTGTTTCCCCATCTGTAAAATGGGAGTCGTGATACCTGTGTAGAGCACGCTGAGAACTGTGTCTAAAAGGCCTTGTCTAGGTGGTATGTGTTCCGCCTGGCTTTGTTCCAAGCCCTCCCACAGGATGCTCACAAACAGGCAGAAAGGAGAAAGATACTGGAGATGGGAAAACCTTTTTGAGTGTAGTGTCCGGAGACTTGGCTGCTCCTGGATTGTTCCCCGGAGCGACTGCCTCTTCTGGACCTGCAGGTGCAGCCTCAAAGTTATATCCCTGCTGGGTTTCTTGTAGGGAGGGGCAGGGATGCTGGCTGAGGCTGCCCCACAGACGGGGGTGGGGCGGTTGACAGGCTGCGAGCTCCTTCCTTGATGGACGCCCCTTTGCTTGTTTGCAGATGTCACCTTCATCCTGGACGACGGTGCTATTAGTGCCCACAAACCCTTGCTCATCTCCAGCTGCGACTGGATGGCTGCTATGTTCGGGGGTCCGTTTGTGGAGAGCTCCACCCAAGAGGTGAGGAGGGCGGCAGCGAACGCCCGTGGCAGGGTTGGGATTTGCCTTTTCTTCCTCTCCTTCCCTGCAGCCCAGCCCGGTGCTGGCGAGAGTCCTAGAGAAGGGGACGCAGCTTGCATCTTGCTCCATGCAGCACTTGAACAGCCGTTCTGATGAGCAGGCACTTCCGCTGCCTGCATTGCTGTAGTGGTATCCCAGAGGCCCAGAGCTACAGCATTAAGAAGAGAGAGAGAGAGAGAAAAAGCCTGAGTGCCTTTTGCAGTGACTCAGTGCTTTTCCTGTCTCTAGCCAGGGCCCATGGGGCAGAAGGGGAGGGAAGCCAAGATTTCACAGCAAGCAGTGACTGGATAGGATCAAAGGGAAAAGTTCCCCTGAGCAGGAGGAGTCTGGGCAGGGGGAAAGGGACGTTCGGGAGGGCAAAGGGGAGTTCCTGAGACTGAGATCTCTCCATTACACATGCGTCCCTCTGTGCCACTCTGACAGCATAAAGTAGCCTTGAAGTGAGTGGGAATGGTCCCCCGAGATCCCCCTTGCACAGCTGTAGAACTCATGGAAGGACTCTGCTCCCAGCCCCCAGCAGAGTGGGTGGCCGGAGCGCCATGCACTGTGGCTGTTCTCTGCTCCCCAAGGCCCACAGGGAGCGAATGTGTTCTAGCAGCCTTGGGGTCACTCTGACTTACACAAGGGGCCAGGCAGGGCCCCAGAACAGCTGTAGGATACAGGAAGTGCAAAGGGGGCTGAAAGCCCATCCTCCCTCTTCCTCCCTAAGCACAGGAAGGGAGTAAATGAGAATCAGGCCCAAGCACTTTTCAGGGCCATTGCCCACACTGTGCATGGCCTGATTGAGAACTAGAAGTCTGAAGAGACGAGGAAAAGCTCAGACAAAGGGGGTGGGGGTGCAGTCAGGCAAAGGGTCGGTCAGAAAAAGGTGCTTGTACAGACAGACGTGGACGGTTCAGGGGGTGGCACAGTGGGCATTTGCGCCAGTGCAGCTTACCCTGCTTGGCCACGGACAGCTGAAATCCCCAGTGCGGACAAGGAGGGGTGGGTGCAGCCAGGCCACAGAAAGACCGGGCAGGTGTGATTGAACGAGACAGATTCCTGCTGCAGGGGGGCTGGGGAGGGGCAGTGTGTGCCTCCCCAAGCACTGGGAGTGTGGGGCAGGGCACAGAGCCTGGACCCCTGTGGAAGGTAACCCTGTCTGTGTCCACGTCCCTCCTGAACAGGTGGTATTCCCTTACACCAGTAAGAGCTGCATGCGGGCTGTTCTCGAGTACCTGTACACCGGCCAGTTCAGCTCCAGCCCGGACCTCGACGACATGAAGCTCATCATCCTGGCCAATCGGCTGTGTCTGCCGCACCTGGTGGCTCTCACAGGTAACTTGGGGTGACGCGAGAAAGGCCTGTGGTCAGGCAGCACCCAGGGCAAGCCAGGCTTTGTCCCCCACAACCACATCCTAAATCAGGAAATAGGAATCAAGAGGAGGGGGGTTCTGTGACCCTAGCTTACAGCTAGAAATGAATCTGAATGATCGGGCGGGGGGGGGAAGAGGAGGGTGCTGGGGTCACTGCCTCCTGTGGAGAAGACAGCGAAAGCTGGGACGTGACCATTTTATCTGGAGCTCCTTCTTCCAGCAGTGAGTGAAGGGACCCAGAGGCCCTCCTTAATCAGGGACTCCATACACCCATCTCCATCGGAAGGGATGGTGACTTAGGGAGACGGGCTTTGGGGTGCTCCTGACAGCTTTCCAAGGTTCATCCCAATGCAGGTTGAACCCAAAAACCAGAGTCCAGTAGGATAGCCTGACAGCGCTTGTTTATATAAGGGAGTTTGGACCCCGTGAGCATCAGCTGGCTTGGGGAATCACTGCTGTTCAGAGGCATGACAAACTCAGTGCCGAGTCTCCCACTAGCTGCAGCATGTCTGATGCACCCTGCTGAATCTGTCACCCTGACTGGTCTCACACAGATCCAGTGGCTTGGTGCTGGCAGTAAAGCCAGCCGGAGGGCAACGCAGGTCCCATTGCCTGAGTGGTTGTCTGTCGAATGGGCCAGAGGATGACATGGGTCTGGTGGTTTGGGGTGTTGGCTCTAGAGCCGGCTAGAGTGTGACACAGGTGCTGTGGGGAGGTGGTGGTAGAACTGATGGAGTTCAACATGGATCCAGTGGCGTGGTGTGTTGTCTGTAGAGCTGGCCAGAGGATAACAGGTGTCTGATGGCTTGGGGTGTTGGCAGTGGCCAGAAGATGACAGGTCCATTTTCTAACAACTTCTGAGGCTTCAAGATCTGTTTTCATTCCACATTGAAACAACCCCCCAAACCTTCTGAACATTTTCACCCAATGAAATTGGGTCAAAATGTCTGTTTTCAGATTGAAACGGTCAGGTTTTCAGTTTGGAGCTTGCACTCTCTCTCTCTCTGGTCAGAGTCTGCCTTGAGGATTTGTTATAGGGAGACTTAGTGCAAAGCAAGCTGGGGATGTCTGTGTGTGAATCTACAGTGCTCTGGTTTGCCACGCACTAGAAGATTCATAACGTGCTTTGACCTACTGCTGTTTCAAACAGTACCCAGCTGCAGGCTCCACCCCGCCAGTTAGCTCATGGCAAGCTAGTGCACTGTAGATTTACACCCGTTTGCCATGCACTAAATCTGTGTGTCCCCGGGTAGATGAGCCCTGAATCTCAGCAACCTGCAAGTAAAAAAAATGTCACAATAGAGACATCTCCGTGAAACATTTTGTCTTCGACAAAACAGCACATTTAGACTAAAATCCCGTTAGTCATGAATGTTCCAACCAGCCGGAGTTATTTGTCCGCACTAGGTGCATAGCCAGGATAAGCCCTCTGATGATAGCGTTTGTGTCACAGAGCAGTGGTGGGAGACGCCCCCTAATCCCCCTGTGTGTGTTACAGAGCAGTACATGGTGGCAGGCCTGATGGAGGCATCGCAGATGTTGGTGGATATCGATGGGGACGTCCTCGTGTTCCTGGAGTTGGCGCAGGTATGAGTTGCTAATTTCTGGGTAGTTCCAAGGCTGCCCTGTGGCTTTTCATGGCCCGCTGGTTATGGCTCTTGCTGCATTCACAGGGGGATGAGAACTCAAGGAAGGAAAGGCAAGGAAGATGGAGTGGTGCTAGACAGAGAGCTTTTGCAAGCAGTAACTTCATGTTCCGCTATGAGCCCATCAAGTCTTGCATGCTACCACAGGGCCAGGTTGGGTCGCCGGCTGGATGGGAGACCTATAGGGACACTGGACTGTGCACGAAGTGGTGCTGGTGGAACTCTTCCATCAGTACGGAATCCAATGGCTCCCACTGCCGCCTTTCAAACAGGATGTGAAAGCAACATCCTGACCTCTTGTGGTCATAGAAAACCCTAATGCAGGGTGTCCAAATTCCAGCGTCGGTAACTGCCTGTCACATTTCCAATGGGATACCATATCCTCCTCCACTTCTCTAAAGGGCTCTGCGGTTAGCCGTGCATTGATAAACGACACTGCCTTCTACCCCAGAGGTGGCTGCACTGCAGTGGCAGTAGTTTGTAAAGCAGGTGATATCCCCTTGCAGGTATTGCGCTGGTGCTCATAATGGTCTCTCCCTCTTCCAGTTCCACTGCGCATACCAGCTTGCAGACTGGTGCCTTCATCACATCTGCACCAACTACAACAACGTCTGTCGGAAGTTTCCCCGGGATATGAAGGCCATGTCAGCAGGTCAGTGCTAGCTACTGCCCTCCGCATCACTCACCAGCAGAGTGGAGTACAGCAGGGAGGGACAGTGGGGTCAGCCCTAAGAGGCCCAGGTTGGGGTAGCCCGGAGAGGCCTGTATCCTGGGAAGGGGTAGTGAGCTCAGTGCTGTGTGCACTTGCCACTGCAGGGCTTGGTGGGATGCCACCTCCTCTGGTTGTGTTGTTAACATGTCCCTGTGCTGTCTCCCCCTTCAGAGAACCAGGAGTACTTTGAGAAGCACCGCTGGCCACCGGTCTGGTACCTGAAGGAAGAGGATCACTACCAGCGGGCCAAGAAGGAGCGCGAGAAGGAAGACTACCTCCACCAGAAACGGCAGCCCAAGAGAAGGTGGCTTTTCTGGAATACCTCCTCCTCCCCTTCTGCCTCCCCTTCCTCATCAGCAGCCACAGCCTCCTCCTCCTCCTCTTCGTCGTCGTCCTCCTCCTCGGCTGTGGTTTGACAGCCCCCTTGCCCTCGCTCCAGTGTCCCTGTGAGAAAGCGGCAGCCGACTGACCCGTACCAGCATCTGGTCCACCAGGCTTGGAATAGACACCACCTGTTAAGCCCTTCAGTGGAGAATGTGGGAAGAGAGTCCTTGGTAGAGTGGGCACATACCACACAGGGGGGCTCAGGACCTTGAGTCCCTGGATCCCCTTAGGAGTTGTCCAGGATCATGATCTCTGCTGTAGTTGCTCTGGCTGGAGACAAGGACAGGGTGGTTGTTACAGCAGGCCCCCACAGAGGGGTTGCTGGCACGCCGAAGGCTTTGCAGAGACTCATCAGCAGGAGAACCTCACAGTTACTGGAGCGTGAGCTTTCTTTTGTTTTAAAAACAATATTCTACAAGGAGAAAAATGAAATTCCTTCGGGTTCTACTTTTGTTTAACTGGAGGTTGTCTTGTTTTGTCCGATGGCGACTCTCTCCTCCTCACCCCTGGGACATTTCAAACCGCAGCAGGAACATGCCCGGAGATTTCCGCTGGGGCTCATTTGACAGGGAGCAGCCTGTCTCTCTTTGCACTTACCTGCCTGGCTCTGGCCTCTGGAACATTTGCTTAGGCAGGATGCATCTCCCGGGACCAGCCTAAGCCCGTACAACCTTCCGGGAAAGCCCCATGGACACCTAAGCAGATTCAGCCTAGGAATCAGTCTCCCTTTGCTGCAGGTGGAGAGTATATTTACAAAGCAGCCAGCTCCTCTACTGACTGAGAACCCCACCCCAGTCCTCTGCCTTCCTTCCTGCTTAGTGAGCTCTCGCGGGAGGATCTTGCATTTAACAATCCCAGCTGGGGTCTGCTGTGATTCTGTGCCGAGGCTGTGGGTTTAGCCAGGGCCAGGTGGAGAGCTGGGGAGGATGAGATGAGAAGTGGCCTAGCCGGAGGACTGTTTTCGGACAGGCTGCTTCTGCAGCCATGTGGGACCCCAGCCTCCGACTTCTTTTTTAAAGATCCCTCTCACACACACACAACTCCCATTGGTTGGGATTTTAGACCTGAAGGCTCCGTTGTAATAAATGGTATTTTAAAGACCAGCATGGTCCCTGTGTGTTTGGAAGGAAGCAGGTGCTGCTTGGGAAGGCAGGGCCTGCCTGCCACTGTGAATCTGTCCTGACTGATTGCTCCCATGCCCCCACTGAGCCAAACCACCCCCCCCCCCCCAAGCCACAGGCTGGTTGGAGGATGTTTAAGGCAGGGTACCTGAGCTCCACCACTCACATGAAATGGTTTAACAGCAGAGCCATCAATCAACCTCACACAGGCAAAGTTCCTATTGAAGTCAGCAGGAGTTTTGCTCGAGGTCTGTGTAATACTATTTAGCAGGTTCCATCCATAAAGGCCAGAGCAGTGATTTGCCCTCAGCCATATGCTGAATCCAAATCAGGCATAAAACTCTGTATTAAGGAGCCAGCCTCTAGTCTGGTGCCCTCTCCAACTGAGTGTTGTGCCTCATGGCCTGGAATCAGGAACAAGGCAAAGGGAGAGAACGTGTGTGCTTTGGCAGGGTCATCTCTTTCTGAAAGGGGGCGTTAGCAACCTGTTATGGCCCTTCCTAGCAGGTGTTAAAGGAAGAGCTGTCCTACACAGCAGCTTTGGAGTATGCTAGTTTCATATACAGGTGTCTTGAGGTGTTTTTTTTCTTTTAATAAAAACACTTAGGTGGGGTTACTCTGCTCCCCACCAGAGGGCAGGGACAGTTGCAGAACAGTGTGCATTTTACACTTAATGCCCCACCTGGAGCAGAGGGCCAGTTCCACTGCTATGAGTCATGTCCACCTCCACAAGGCTGGGCTACACCCGAGCAATAACTGACAAGGGAGGTGATAGGTAATGAGGAATTTGGGTCTGATCCAACAGCCATGCATTCAGGGGGAGCCTTTCCATTGGTTTCCCTGCTTGTTGGATCAGGTCATTAGCTTTAATGTTGCTGGTGACTGCTAGAATGGAGTCAGGGAGCTCTGAGGGCAACAATCCTGTTTATGTGCTTTGGCAGCATGATTTAACCACCGAGACCTAGGAGGTGGGCAAGGGCAGGATGGGACTGCCCATTCCCTCTCTGTACAAAGGGTCAGTTATTCCTTTGCTGGTCCCCTCCCAGCAAGGGGCACTTATCTTCTGCCCACTTGATGTGCACATCTGCTTCCACCTCCCATCAGTTAAGACCCACTTCAGCATCTGCCCAAGGCAGTGCTTTGTGCACAGGAAGGAAAAAAAAAAAAAAGTACAACCCTACACCTGCTGGCATGCTAGCCTTAGGAGCCAGCCTCTCCCTCTGGAAGGATGGGGAAGTCGGGGATGAGGGGGGTACAGAACCCAGATCTCACCCTCTGGTTGTGTCTCAGAGACATGCCAATCTTTCCTTGGAAGCCAGACCTGCGTTAAGCTCCCCAGCGTGCAGTTTCTCTTCCACCTAGCTTAGTGAAGAGGGAGCATCAGTGCTGGCTTTGATGCTACACAAACCTATCAAGGAGGCCCCAACTCCCACCCCCAGCTGCCGAAAGCTTATTACAGTGGGTGACGTTTCTTCTGCCAGGCAAATGTTGGTTTTGACACAAAACAAGGTGGGTTTGGGGCAAGTGCCCCTGAAGGTCTGATTCTCCTTTGCCATGCACCTGGTGTAATTTACAGCTGTGCCACATGGGTGTCAAATGTCATATGAAGGTCATTGGTTAGTGGAGAGAGGAGAGATGCAGATACCCAGGAGAAAGAGTTTGCTATGTTGTGGTTAGTTCCATGAAGGGGAAAACCAGTGTGGGTTCATCATAACATAAGCCACAATGAACTGTGTGGACCAGATGATGTAAATGTGTGATTTGAGCTATGTAGATACACACCAGCTTGATCTCCATTGAAACCCAGACCACTAAGTCTTCATTGTGGCTGAAGGCGGGGAAAGAATGAGAAAAATTTTAGCGTATAAAAAAGTTTATTCTTCCTTCATACGAGTCATGTATAAAAACTAGAAATATTTAAGAAAAAAACTGGCTGGGCCAGAGCTCTGTATAAACAACCACACACAGGAAAAAGGAAAAAACCAATCCTATTTTTATATTACCTTTTAAGTTAATATTTACATTTAAAATTCCTAATAAATACATAAATATGGTATCTACTTTTGCTTTTTGTTTCAAGCACAGCTTTAAAACCTAGGGAGGGATTTGGTCAGGGAAGGGGAGGGTACTTTTGACATTAAAGCATGAATAGCCTTCATCTTTTCCATGAGATGCTGGAGGTGAGGAAGTGACTGCTGTCCAATCTGCATGCTGAGCAGAGGCCTGCTAACAAGGTGGATAGCAGAGACCAGCCTGCAGGAGGGCTGGATGGTTGCCCCTTGCAGATAGGTCAGGTTCAGCCAGCTCAGTAACTGCAGGTAATTCCAACAGCCAATAAAATTGTCCCTGAACTATGTACAAAAGATACTAGGACTGATGACCGGACAGTGCATCCCTGTGCATCTGATAGGGGAGGAACACATGTTTAACTTCACAGCCCCTTGTGAGGTAGGGCAGTGCTATTATCCCCATTGCTCAGAAGGGGAATGGAGGCACAGAGGACTCAACCAAGGTCCCACATGAAGTCTGGCAGAGCAAGGATGTGAACCCAGGTCTCCCGAGACCCATGTAGTGCTCTAATCACTGAGCCATCATTCCTCTCTGCTGCGATTTGGCATCTTCTAAAAGACAATACCCCTGGATCACAGTATCAGTACCAATAGGGTAGATAGTTATTTGCCCCTCACTCCAGTAAAGTCCTCAGGTTTTAGGTACTAGATGGTCTAACCCTACCTGTTTTAGAGGTAGGGTTAGACCATATCTACAGCTAAGATGTACAGTGGGTATCAAATGACCCAGGAACCAATTAAAACCTGCCCGTCACAGATGGAGGTAGAGGCCCTGGCCAGCTGGCTGAGGCTTGTCAAGTTTTCTAGAAGGCTAAAGCATCCAGCAGCAGCAGCAGGAGGTATAACATTTAGTCAGAGCTTTCAGAGGTGGCCCTGAATGACAAACATGCCAGCTTTGCCTGTTGCAGTTCCCTCCAGCTGCCAATAGCCAAGTCCCTGCAGTTGGAAAGAGCCAGGCGATGCCAATACCCACCGGGATAAGATTCCAGTGGTGCTCCACAAGAACGTATTAGCAGAGTCATTGCAACAGAGTGTTACAAGGAAATCCCAGCCTGGATGTCTGACAGTAACTTAGATTCTGTCATTCAGAGGAAGAACCTGTGGTTTGTTCAACAGCTTTTGCAGCATCACTCTTCCTAGAGGGCTTGCAAGGCTCTTGTCTCTAGAAGACAACCAACTCCCCCAGCCCAGCTGGTATCTAGCAAGGATGCCTTACTCAGGAGCAGCCCAGGGTATATCTGGGATTTCAGAGGCATTTATGGTTCTGGCTTGGAGAGAAGCAAGGCCATCCCACCCTGTTCCTCAGTTTAATTCTTCTTCTTCTTCATAAAGGCCAATAAGCTTGGAGCAGATAATGTCTGCGACGCCCTTGAGATCAATCTTGTCTAGTGTCTCCAGTAGCTGGTTGACAGAAGCTCCTACTCCTGCTTTGTTCAGCCAGGTGCATAACATCTGGTAATGCGGCTCCTGTGAGTACTTGTCACTCCTCTCTGCGATCTCAATCTCGTTCTCTGTGAGGAGGAGGGCTCTCCCAAACCGTCTCCAGTCCTTGAAGGGCACTTCTTGAGTGAAGGTGTCGAAGGAGCACCGCAAAGCTGGGGGAGAGCCAAGGCACAAGCACCCCATGAGAACAGGGTAGATAGGGACCCTGGCTGTCTGTTCTGGTAGCTTCCATATCCCATCATGCCACACTAGGCCAGCTACTCTCATATCCCCAGACACTGGATATAACTCCACCCATACTCATTGTGCAATATTATCCCATGGGAGAAGCAGGGAGATTTCTTCCTGACCCCACCTTCCCCCAGTAATCAGATCATACCCTGAAGCATGGGAATGATTCACTTTTGTTGCTATTAACCGTGTTAAAGGGCTAACTAAACTATCCCTTTTAAAGGAAAAAAGTTATTTGCCTCAAAGAGACTATACAAAATGCCAGTCACCCTCCCTACCTTCCCCCCCTCCCCACTTCTTCCCTGGCCTATTCCCCATGTGGCTGTGAAGATCACTGGGACACAGATTTTGGACCCCAGTTAGTTATCCCCAAGCTATAGGACAGTCAGGAACACACAGGGGAAGGATGAGCCCCACTAAGATTCCCTTTCTCTCAAGGGATTCTGTGTCTGCCAGGCCGAGGGGACTTTTATCCAGAGCTAGCAGAGGTTGTGTCAGTCTCCCCCTGAGAAATGGCTTATCCCATGAAGGGAATGTTCATAGAAGACTTGTCTCCTCCCAAGTTTTTCCTGACCAAAAAATTTGCAAGTTCCCATTTCTATTCTCTTTCCTCCCCTCCCCGTTTCTATGCAAAGAAGGGGGAGAAATCAAACCGAAACCCAAAATGAAAGTTTGTTAATATTTTTAGCTGAAATGGATCTAAAGTGAAAAAGAAAATTTAGCAAAAAGTTTTTTGAAGCATTTTGATCAGCCCTGTTTTTAAGCTAGGGGGTAGGGGGGAGGAGAGGGGGGATATGGTGGCACTCAGAAGGCGCCCATTGAGGCTACAACACATCCCATGGAGGCCCAAAACACTATAACAGACCACCCCAAAACACTTACTCTCTATTGGGTCCTTTCCTCTCCCTGGAACCAGTTTCTTCCTCCTGCTTGCCATTTGAGATGCTGGGTTTCTCTGCAACACATGGGAAGATGACAACACACCTCCGTTACCATAGGCAACAGGCTGACACATGGAAAGATCCCTATGGAGCAGGTCTGAGCCTCTGGGCACAGCTGCTCTGGATTGTCAGGATCTCCTCCATCCCATGGTTACTGGGCTGGATTCTCAGACTGAAGCCCCCAGCAGCCTATAATCTAATGCACACTGATGTCACCAGCTACCAGTAAGCACCAGCAAAAAGGGGACTTTCCTCTTCTCCCCTGCCTGATGCTGAGTCATGCAGGAGATTTTATGCT